ATAATAATAATAATAATAATAATAATAATAATAATAATAATATACCTGTAATTGATTGGCAGCTCTAGGCAAAAAAAAAGGCAAATCATGCATGAGGCAAAATAGGAATGTAGCTTTAGCACACTCTAAAGTCACAGTTTGGCACTACTTTCATTTAGACCGAAACATTGGGCAAAATGTTTTTACACTTCACATTATGCGGGTCACGTGGTTATCTCAAAACATTTCACGGGATGTCTTTTGTGTTTCAATTTCTATCCTTATTTCGCATGTTTCAGCTTTTGGGTGGGGCGAGGGCAATGTGTTGGTGCATGAAGGGGTCGCGTGGTGAGCGCGTCCGCCGGCTGGCTGCGCAGGGTTCGTGGGGCGAGGGATGCTGGGCGCGGCCGTGGCGGGCTCCGTCTTCGCGTCGCCGCCGCCCTCCCACGTGCTGTACGCCATCCGCTGCCTGGCGGAGCAAGGCGCCAGTGAGTACGGCTGGCCGCGCGCCTCCTTCGGCTTAGCGAACGTCCCGGGATCAAACGTCGAAACTTCGAAAATAAGCTCTTAAGACAATTTGAAGCGTATTTGGCTAATAAATTACTCGGATATTCCATATGGCTGAGCCACAATAAACACGCAAAAGATGGTTTAAAATGCTTTCTAGGCAAATATATGCATTGCTGAAGGATATACACACTCGAGAAATGTGTCAATTGTATATTGTTTACAAAAGAAATTAATATATTTGTTCAGACTGCCTGACGAACAGATAGACAAACGAACGTTTTGCTGTCAATTGGTTTTTCGGTATCAAGGACCCACAAAACAGGGATGCTGGTTACATCACGTGTTGGAGAAAATTACACAAATGCATTCATTTTTCATGCATTCATTTCAATGTTTTCAATATCTTCCACGCGTTTATTAAGTACATTTCTAGCGGTTTGTAAACACAGACTTAATGATGTTGTGAGGTTTAGTTCTGTGGGTGCCATAGCTTATTGAATATCTTAAACTAGAAAAATGTCTTATCATAATATTGCTCTCGAACTCCTTCGGAAATTCCGTTTTTGACATACTATGCATTTTAGCATATTCTGTTTTTCGATTTTGTTTGTGATACACAGAACATTCTCTTACCACGTCTGGGTCTGAGTATTAAAAGGGAAATTTTGTAATCTTTCACAAAATAAATATTGTGTTTAGGTTTTGCTTTTCTTCACTGATATTGATCTAGCCCCACTAATAATAAACATGACGTAAACACCAAAGAAATATCTAAACGCGGGCTTTGCCTATTGGTAAAGTTCAAATTTGCTCAGTTCGAAGTTAGTCTGCTCTCACTACTTGTCATCAAAATTTCAATTGCGCTCTGTAGTCTATCAGTTTAAAAAACCTTGATCTGTAAACATTAAACTTTAAGACTAAATATTTGTTTTATTTATTGATAGGTATTTAAAATCCTTGATCTGAAAGTGTAAATTGGCAAAATGGTAACTAAATTAACTTCTCTAAAAGATTAACAAACTATTGAGAATTGGATCAATTGTACTCCATGAAGTGACACTTCCAAAGCAGTATTAGCGGGCGCTCCTGGTCTTACGGCTTGCGGAAGACTCAATGTCGAGAGTGACGCGGTCTTGGGGCGGTGCTCGCACCTGTCAAGATAGTGGTTCACTTGAGGCGAGGGTGTCGGCAGGTGGGGTGCTGGCGGTGGTGGCCAACTACACGGGCGACTGCCTCAACTTCGGGCTGGCGGTGGAGCGCGCGCGCGCGCTGGGGCTGGCGGTGGAGGCGGTGGTGGTGGGCGAGGACTGCGCGCTGCTCGACAGGGGCGGCGGCGCCGGCGGCGCGGGCCGGCGCGGGCTCTGCGGCCTGCTCTTCGTCTACAAGGTTTTTCAGTTTATTGATTTTCTTTTCAATTGAGTAATACAAAGATCAGCGTTAAAACACTCTGCATTTGTTATGATTGCTTAAATCTGCTTATAATTAATTTACAATAAACTGACTAATATTCTTAAAATACATCTCACATTACTACAAGGGTGGTAGAGATACCTTTATATGATAACTCTATGTTGGGTGGAGATCTGATAATTTATTGAGAAATGTATAAACGGAAATTTATTTTTGATGCGGGTTCTGTGGATTGGGTTTGTCTACAAGGTACTCACACTCACATACACACACACACACACACACACACACACACACACACACACACACACACGTAATACTATTCTGTCGAATAGATGTGACATAATATGTTCTTTAACGAGCGTAGAATGATAGCTCTTATTCACGAGTTGATGTTTACGACACGAGCGACGTAGAAATGCAAATGTCGGCATTTTTACGAAAGAATAATAGCTATTCTACGCGAGTAGAAGACTACACATTCTTTATAACTTTGAAATTGGTGTTTTAAATATACTAAATAAAAGATTTGAAAATATTTTATTTCTTGAAATAATGTTACATTCATTGAATTATTTGCTTTGTTAAATATTTTTTGACATTAACTACAAACAAATACACAAAAAAATATTACGAACTTCTTCGTTTTATATTGATGAAGAATTAACTATTACAAACATAAACAGTGTAGATTTACTTTTTGAAAAAGTAATTGTGAAATTACAGCAATTGGTAATATGTATTATCAAGGGAGTTGGCTCTTGGTCTGAGCCGATTTTACGGACGGTTAGTGGTAACGTCATCATTACTGTATCCGATAACATGTATAAATGTCTACATTCTGAAGTAGTCGTTGAGAACCATTTTTTAAAATTTATTTATTTGTTTACTACAAATAATGTTGAAATGCCTTCACTTCCTGTCGCTATTTGCAAGCAATGGTAGCCTATCCGGGGGGGGGGTGAATCACACCGAAGGCTGTCTTTTGGTGAGGCAGTAGCGTTCATAGTAAAACTTACCGGCAAAGGATTTCCCTTTTCGAATTTTTGTTCCCTGGGATTGGGGCTACGGCCTAGTGTTGTGGTCTCACATATTAAAGACCTGTCGGAGAATTGGAATCTCCCGCCTCCGGTGTTAAATTGTCGTCCTTTAAAGTATCGTCCTTTTAGAAAAACATTTCATTATACTGTTGCCCACTCTCAAAAGATTTCAATTTTTCTCAAAGTTTAATATACAATACTTAAATATAAATTTTTCTCAAAGTTTTATATACAATAATTTTTGAAAATAGAAGTGATGACACTTAGCATAGAACTCTCATGGGTTATAATAATGTTATATTTTCACCCGATCATGTATAGTTTAGTAGTTTGAGCGAAGGAGGGGTCGAAGAAACATACGATATCCAGTCAAACACATTACCTTTCTTTGCGTTGGCGTATTGGTGTCGAAAGGTACGCTTTTGCTCGTGTCTCACCTCCGAAGTTGTCGTGCTTCCTTTGCCTGATCGCCGAGTGTTTGCGCGCAGCTGGCGGGGGCGCTGGCGGAGGCGGGCGCGTCGCTGGAGGCGGTGGCGGAGCGCGCGCGCCAGGTCACCGCCCGCATGGCCACGCTCGGGGTCTGCCTCTCGCCCTGCAGCCTGCCAGGTCAGTCTTTCTCAACTCGGTGTGCATGTTGTTTACTTTACTCTTTCGCAACTAGCGTAGCGCCCAGTGGATCTTTTAAATGGCTTACAAGCAGTGGCGAAGCTATGGAGAGATAAGAGAACCATACTCCACCAAACAACATTATTCTAATTTTAGTTAATATATTCAAACTAATTACGGTGTAATTTCATCACATCCAAAGCAAAAAGTATTCTCAATATGAACTCACCTGGTATACATTTTTCATATCAAGTTAACAGTTTAAAAAATTCAAAAATATTCATTCATCTGCAATTGACCTCCTCCCCCAAGACTTCCCGGATACGCAACTGTTTGACAAAAAAATAGAATTTTCCTCATTGAGTTTTTGAAACTCAAACATTCAGCATAAAAAGTGGAGTCTCTGCAGCTGGAACGTAATTTCACGTGTGTCCAGTAATTGAAGGTACGTCTACAGAAAGCAGTAAGCTCTATAATTTTCGAACCAAGGCTTCCAAAGAGACCCTTGGCCAGCAATGCATCGACGGATGCGTTGATACGTGTTCTTTGCGACTGCTACTTGTTCTCAAAACCTGTCCGCATATATGTGAATCATGTCAATGTGCCAACATCATGTCAAATAAAAATAATATTTATTCGTATTCTTGATTTATTCGCTTATTATATAAGTCGCAAGAAATACACATCGTTGAAAACTTACATAGAGAAATACAATGCAGTCATTTAATGTTTGGTGTGGACGCAGGGGCGGGTGAGTAGCATTTAATGTTTGGTGCAATTGTGGTCGCAGGGGCGGGTCCGCTGTTCACGCTGGGGCCCGATGAGATGGAGCTGGGCCTGGGCGTCCACGGAGAGGAGGGCGCCTTCAGACTGAAGGTGAGGGCAACTGATGTGTTCTCTATTCATAAAAGTGTGGAAGATGTTACTCCATAGGTTAGATCGAGTAAAAGTTTCTTCTGAACGTAATGTTTTTCCTACTTTCAAGGGAACAAACCATTTACGTTAAATTCAAATTTTCCTTTGTAAAATTTTATATGGTGTTTTAAAAAATGATTGCTTATCTGTACTGTATTCAATTGCAGTTCACAAATTGAAGATATATCTTTCGTTTCTTAAAACGTTATTGATTTGACAAGCCGCACGACTGTTCCGATCGCAAAGTTTTGTTTTAGATTTTTTGTGCGAAGTTGAAGATATTGTATCGTCCGAGTGTCTACGACATAGCTCCATACGTGATACTCATTTCGAGACAACTGTCTGCACATTTGGAAGACTCACTGTACATTTGCAAGTCACACGAAACAAATGAAAGTGAGCTTATTTGAAATAGTAACCATTGTTTTGTTGAATACCATGATTTGCGACAGTTCATTTTGAGGTTATATATGTATTTGGAAGGTATTTTTTGTGTCAGTCAGTGATGGAGAAATAATTTTTAATATATGCATGAGTTTTTGTGGAATGAAAAAAAAAGAATGTTCGAAACACAGAATCGACGTTACAAGAAATTTCACTGTACATCCACAGAGGATAATATAAAACGCGAAATGAAGTGATGGCAACAACTCTAAGAAAGAGCAATGCGTGAATCTCAATGACATTCACACATCTTCTCCATTTCTTGTAGTATATGCGACACTTCATCATAGTCGTCTCTGTAATAAATATTAAGGCCTCATAAAATCTTATTTAGATTATCGGCAATCTCCTGTATGTGTGACGTTTCTTTCACCTAAGATAATGTTTTAACTACTGTGGTGATTTGCTTCTTTCAAATCACTTTGTGCTCAACGTAATATTTAATGTAGCGCGTAATAATATCTCTCTGATTTATTAATTATTAGAAACAATAAGAATACGAATATCTGTAAAACAATAATTTTGCTTTATTGAGACTTTCATTTACAGAAGAAAAACAGTTATTTTGGATGGTTTATTTTATAAAATACTTATATAATAAAAAACATTCATTGTTTTCAAGTTTTGCAACTGACTGCAGCATTATAAATGTAAAACAAATATGAGAAAATAAAACAGTGATTCAAGCGAATAGTAAGTCAGAATCTTAATTAGTTTACTGATTGTTTTAGTTTTTCTTATTTTAAATAGATAATTAATTAAAGGGTGCCTCAGATTGAATTTTACGATCAACAAGGGCATGTAGAGGTAACTTTTTGTTAATTAAGCGTGTGGTGGGAAATTTCATGTGACATTTGCCCACGATTGTTAGGCAACTCCTCAATCAGAGATGTTCGGCACGTTGCTTTTTGACGCAGAGTATATTTATCTACCGATCACCACCAGTAAATGAAGAATTGCCGATATCAACCAGGAGAAAGTTCGCATGTGTAAATTTGTTGTTTGACATATTTATTCTGCGACTCCTGTTTAAATTCGGAAACCAATTGAGAAAATGCATTTTAACTGTTCGACGACCTCCCCCCTACACCTTTGCAAAGTGTCATGTGCGGAGTGTGTAAGAGCACAATGCGCTGCGCAGCTGAGCAGCGCGCACGAGGTGGCGGAGGCGATGGTGGCGCGCCTGGCGGGCGCGCTGGCGCTGGCGCCGGGGGCGCGCGTGGCGGCGCTGCTCAACAACCTGGGCGGCACGTCGCAGCTGGAGCAGGCGCTCATGGGCGGGGAGCTACGCGCCGCGCTCGGTGAGTGCCCACTGCCCATTCCCTCCACGTGCACGAAGGCAGTCGTAGGCACACAGTGAGCATAGGGGGCGTGGTCCCTCTGAAAATTTTGAAAGGGGCTCCACCACGTATTAAAATACTTTATTTGCGTACATATGATGAACTCTTGGTTTTCCTCCTTTTAATGCCTGACGCTTTAGGAGAATATACCTTTAAAATATGAGAAAGAAGCTTTCTAAACCATAATATCATTCTCCTTGAATGTTATTAAGAACGCATGGATTAGTTCCAAGTATAAAAACGAAACAAAAACCTTTGTTCAAATTATTCGAGGAATTAGTATAATTGCTACTAAGGGTAGACTAAGGATGGATTTTGATTCGAAGACTAGAAATGGAGAACAATGAAATTGAAGAACAAAGTGGTTTTGGCGCATAAAGATATCATACAGATATTATATTCTTTATTAAACAGTTTATTGACAAGAAAATCTCAATTAATAAAGAATTACACTTAATTTGTACTGATTTAAGGAAATCCTGCGAAAATGTTCCAATATAGTGTATAAAATGTGGGAAGTCCTAATAAAATTAAGGGTAAATCCTGTCATGATAAATGCAATAAAGAGTATCTGTGAAAATAGTGCGAGTCGTGATTAGATGATAATTGAAATATCAGAACGTTTTATGGTAAATAAGGATATCAGACAAGAATGTATACTTTCTCCAACTTTATTCAAGATTTTTATTCGTGAAAATCTAAGGAATAGTCCTGAAAATGTAGAAATATTGGAGTGACTGTTGGAATTGAGATGTTCTATAATCACCGTTTTCCTGCCGATCAGATCACTTTGACCCAAGGACAAGATGATATTGAATATATGTTAAAGAAATGAACGGAAACATATAAAAATGGTGACTCGAAAAAAAAGTCAAAATGTGTGGTTGAAGTGAAATTTGGAAATGATCTAGAAACAGAAAGAAAGAAATATACTTCGAATAGTAAAGGAATTTAAATATCTTGGAATGGCTTTTACTGCAGACGAATCTGACGACGACGTTATTAAAAATATAAGCAAAGAAAGGTCAATTACTATCAGACTTTATAATATGTTTCGGAATAAGACTAATAGAAAGCAAACCAAGAGACAAATATACAAAACAATGGTGGAGAGTTGTGTTATATACGGATCCGTAATTTTGGTTTAAAAGGATGCAATAAATTTCAGTTAAATGCTGTGGATATTTGGAGTGGTCAATGTATTCCGTTTGAAAGAACACATAACGAAGAGATTAGGAAGATAATGCATGTAGAAAGAAGTAATCGAGAATTTAGATTTCAAACAACTTGAATGGTATGGCCTTCAATGAGAATGCACACCAATAGAATAACAAAAAAAGTATTTGAATGGAGCCCTTTCAGAAAAAGAAAACGAGGAAGGCCGAGAAAATCGTAGAAAGCCGTCATCGCTATATCTATGAAAAATAGAAAAAGATGCCTGCGCACACCTGACAAGACACTGAAGGCCTCTTCTCTGTCCGGGAGGCGGCCGTCGTTCCCATGGTGGTCGATGGGAACTTTCGCATTATTGGGAACGATTTGGTAATATTATAATATTGAAATTTCTTTCCAAATAACGCTTCAGACATCATTTGAAAGGACCAAACCAATTCAAACGCAACGCCTGCGGTGCGAATTTGCAATTATTTAGACAACCAGGAAGAAAAGTCAGTCTTATTCTACAAAAGAAACACACGTGAATAAATCACAACAGGTGCAGGATTCGCATCACATTATACAGACAAACAAGGATGATTTCACAAGCTTGATTTCATTACACAGATGTGAGCTAATTTTTGATGGTGCTTAGTATCGATATCCAAAAAAGAGTAAAAATGAAACAAGTAATGATTCAAACTAGTAGCATTTTTATACGATCGTAGCAAAAAGTTAATATTTCGTAAGCGAAATGATTGTTTCTCGTACTATCCCGATTGTTTGATGTTTTTTTCTCCACCTATCGATCTCGGCAAAACATATTCGATGTTGAACGTTCAAAAACTAGTGGCGCTAGAGCAGCACGTAGTTTCTCGGCTGTACTTCCACGCAAAATTTCGTGAAAATAATTCAAAATTTCGAAAAAAAAAATGCTTGACCTTATTTCAAAATCTATCTTTAAAAATCAGATTTTATTAAGGGAAAAATCTCTATCTTCATAATTGTAGTTGTAGGTGGACGCTAGAAACATTTTGAACTTTTGCCATTTTCTAAAAACTGGAGTTTTCAACGAAACTGAGATCTGATTCATTCTCTTAAACATTCTTCCGACAAATTATCCCACAACAAAATTGAAGTTTAAAAAAATTGGAGAACTTTTTTTTAATTTTTGAAAATGTTCTAGGGTATTCATGTAGAAGTACTTCTCAAAATTAAAATGTGGGCTCTCCAAATCGAAACCGATACCAGTCAGTTCAATTGGTGAATATCCATTTTGGAGAAAATCGGCAGAACGATATAGCCCTTAGCGTTGTGCATAGACGGACAGACGTTTTGCCGTCATTCTATTTTTCGCTAAGAAGATAACACCAAACAACAAATAACAAAACAACAAACAACAAAAATAAAGTTTTGTCTTCACCACGTGTTAGAGAAATTTGTTTCTAGAGTGTTAGAGAAGTTTGTTTTTCTGGATTTATCCGCTTTGTCTTTACCAGGGCCCGGCAATAAGAGTTTTTCTGCCCAAATGACTCCGTGTCTTCTCGCAATATTGCATAACTTTCTCTCTACTGCCTAAGCGGTGGGGATATAATAAAAAATCATTTTTGGCGCGTTGGAAGCGCCTCTGGTGTGATATTGGGTCGGTCTAAATGCGGCATGCGCGCGTGCGTGTGTGCGTGCGTCAGAGCGGCGCGGCGTGGCGGTGGAGCGGCTGTACGCGGGCCACCTGATGACGTCGCTGGAGATGGCGGGCGTGCAGCTGAGCGTGCTGCGGCTGCCGGACGAGGAGGCGGAGGCGGCGGCGTGGCTGGCGGCGCTGGACGAGCCCACGGACGCCGGCGCGTGGCCCGGCTGCCCGCTCGCGCTGCCCTGCGCCCTGCCGCCCACCCCCGCGCCGCAGGAGCTCGCGCACGACGAGGTACGACCCCTCTCCCTCTCCCCTCGCCCGTCCATTCTCCCCC